TTTCTTCTGATCTAAATCATCTACATTGATAATTTCAACAAAAAAAACCAAAGTTTCTTTTGTAAATAAATAACTAAAACCTTGCATTTTAACAAATTTATGAAGAAAATTTTCTATTTATGTTCAGCATTTATCTTCAATTGCAAATGCTTTTAAATTTGTTCATTTTTAAAAGATATTTTATCAGAATGAATTCCACCACCATTTCCCATTTGATCGGATTTTTGAATTTATTCAATCGTGACGATTGTTATTTATTTATTTTTTTGTTTCATTTATTTATCAATGAAATATTTTTATTTTGTATTGACAATGTTACATACATTGTTTCTTGCATTTTCTTTTCAAATGATCATTTAAATTATAAATGACGAATACAATTATTACAAATTGTCAAAAATATTTATTCATATAAGATTTTTTTTATTTGAGTATAGTTTTACTTTTGCAAATAAATATTTTGATCTTTTTTTTCTTTTTTGTTATTGAAAAACAAATTTCATTTATGGCAAGTTATTAATCAATATATGTTCAACAAATTTTTATAAAAACAAGTCGATTTCGTCTATAAATTCAAAATGAATATACAAATAAAAACTAATAAGAAAGTAGATAGTTTGATATTGATTATAGTCTTTCATTAATTTTGAGTATTCAATGAACAGGAATGAATAAGAAGTGCTGAAATGTCTAACTTAATAAAATATTTTCATCAATCAACAAATACAATACAAAGAAAAAATAATGATCATCGAAAAAATCTTTCCATTATTATAAATATATTTTTCTTTTTCAGAACTTCTTGTATATTATATTATTTAGTCATTTATTTACCCATGTGTTTATCATATGTATTTTGCCTTGTCAAAGATCATCGAATATCCTATATTGATTAGACATTCTCTGAGGTTATGATCAATCGAATACTAATAACAACATTATTTGTCATCGTCCTTCTCCTTTTTTTTTCCAATCATTGTATATATTAATATCGATCAATCAAGATTATTTTTAAATAAAATCTTCAATATCATTCACTATCCTTTATTGTAGAATAAAACAAAACAAAAAAAAGAAAGAAATTGTTAAATATCAATGATTTTAAAATATACATAATTAAAAACGATGATTTAATCGTGAAGATGTAAAAAATTTCGAAAAAGATTGAAATAATTTTAAATAAGCACGTCGATATTGTATTTGTATAAATGGATAAAGAAATGGATTACATGTTGAATTTAACCATAAAAGCCAAAATGATACTTCTAAAATAATTCCAGATATATTTACACCAGCTGTTGAAACTATTGCACAAATAACATATGGAAATAAGAATATAAGAAAAACAATAACTAGAATAAATAATGAACGTGCTGCTTTACGATCTCGAATTATTTTTGAACCACATCGACGATATTCTTTAAATTTATTTTTATTATTAGTAGTAGTAGTATTTAAATGTTTTGATGAACTTGATCCACTTAGAATCGTTTTTGATACTTCAATATCACTTTCAAGTCGATATTCACCAAATGAATCATTACGATAACTATTTGAATGAGAAAAACTAACACTTGCACATTTTCTTGATAAATATACCATTGATGATGATTTTCGAGATTGTTTTAAATCATTTTTATTTCTATAATAAAAATGATTAACAAATGAATGTTTTTTTTTTTGTCTTTTACTAAAAATAAAATAATAAACATACATAATAGAAGATTTTTGTTGTATAACTGGTGATAAATATGTAATTGTATGTTGACAATTATTTGATGATTTATTATTTTCATCAAATGAATTTGGAAGATTTTTATTTGATGAAGACAATTGAACAAGAATAAATTGATCAATATTATCAGATTTTTCTTCAGCTATTTTTGATGGACAATTTTCAATTGAATTTATTTTTTTTTTAGATAATATTGACAAACATTGATCATCTTTCGTATATTTACTTGTTACTATTGGTAATGAACCAATCTTTCGTTCTTTACTTTTTATTGATTGACTAAATGATGTAAGACGATTCATTTTTCGACTTCGTTTCCATATATTTAACATAATTAACATATTAAAAATACATAAAGCAATAAATGGCCAAATAAAATAATTAAATTGTGCTATTAACATATATACAAATGAATAATTATAATCACCTGAACAATCACTACGTGTTATTGTATTATTATTGTTATTAAATAAACTTAATAACCAAATACCCGGAGCAAAATTAACTTAAAACAAAAAAAAAATCAGTGAATTTTTTTATTAACTTATTTTTTTTTTGCTAATAATGAATTCTTACGAAAAGAAAGACACCATACAGCTCCCATTACTAAATAAACAAAATGTTGTTTCACATATTTTCGATAAGATATAGGATAAGCTATAGACCAATATCGGTTAATACTAATCGCTACTATATTAATAACGCTAGCCATTGTTGCAACATCATCAATTGTAACCTATTTACATATTGATTAATTATTAATAAATCAATTAATCAAATGAAAATCATCACCCATATTTTACAAAAAAGACGTCCAAATGGCCATGATCGTGTGATACTAAAGATGAATAAATTAATGAGAATACATTTGACATAGAACAAAAAAATTAACCTGAATGGAATATAAAATGGAATACAAAAACAACCAACAAGAAAATCCGCTATTGCCATATTTAATATAAAATAATCTTTTAAAAATAAAAATAATTTATATTGGATATAGGTACAAAAGTATGGATAGGATGTGAGGTATAGGTATAGATATGAATGTTGAGTATCTCATCATCTTTATTCACATTACAAAAGAAATAATTACCATTGATTGTACGTAATTTTTTGTCACAATAAAAAGCTAAAAGTACAATGATATTTCCAAGTGCAGTTATTAATGCAATAAGACTAAGACAAATTCCAATTAAAATTAAAATAATGATTGATGATGAATTTGATGTATATGTTATTGTCATTGTTAATGATGTCTATATATATAAAAACAAAAAAAAAAACAACTGTCTTTGTGAGTATATGACTCTATCTCATATTCTCTTCGTTCTTTATTCTAAAAAAAGAAAAATCCTTATTAATGATCAATTATTAATGGAAAAGTCTTGTTAGAAGACAAATTCAATTCGTTATTAGAATTAACAAAAAGAAAAAAAAAACTAATAAATGAATGATTAGAAAATAAACGTTATTTTCTTTGAGATATATTCTTTTTTCTTTTCTTAACAAACGGAAACAAACTTGACTTTACGATTCATTTAAATCTTATTAACAGTTTCTTTTATAATTGACACGAGTACTATTCTACAATATAATAATTACCTTTTCATATTAGTATATTCATTGACGAAGTAAACTTCCTATGACAAGTTCAAGATCTTTATTTGTCCTACTTTTTTTGTTTTTTGTTTTTAAATATAGAACATCAGTGATTCTATATGAAATAAAAGATTTAAATATGTTATATTCTATCTAGAATATTTTTAAAATAAAGAAATAAAAATCTGATAAGATGATTAAACTTATTAACTTTGACAAATGTCGTTTTGTACTCAATAGAAAAAACAACTAATGTAACGAATATTTTCCGAAGAAAATAACTCTTCTATTCTCTTTGAATTTAATCGAGTGCAAAAATAAGATGATTTATAGAGCACTAAGTGCACTTTATTTTCTTGTCATCGAACAGAACTCAAATTATATTACAAAGCTGGTTCTTTTCTTTTTTTTTTACTATTAACAGTTCCTATGTGCTAACTAAATCTTGCTATTTTTATGAGTCTATTATTCTACCATAATGGGCTTTAGCTATTTACTTGCTTTATATAGATTGATATATTTCTATAAGTATAACAAAAAATATAGGAAAAGGAAACATGTTCGATTCTTTTTCTTTTATGTTTTCTCTTAACCAATAGATGTCATTGATCAACTAACAATAAAAAACTCCATCAATGAAAATTATAGAAATATTTCTAAAAATCATTATCTTGCCAAAAACTAAATAAATTAATTGGAATAAAATAATAAAAGTATTTTAGAATTTGCTACATGGACATTTGAACTTTAATAAATTATTAACGTCGTAATTTATGATATTTGATAAGTTTTGTTAGAAAAGACTGGAAATTAAATAAAACTCTCGCTTACTTGAAATACTTTTGTTTTGTACATATATATGAATAATATAAGTCAAGTGTTGCAAGTCTTTGTCAATTTATTTATATCAAAGACATTTAATTAATTTTATAACTCAAGCTTCTGCTTTGAGCATGAATGTTGGTTATCTGTTAATACACAATCATCATAGACTAGAACATGCTAATATTCTCGAAATAAATACTAATCGTCTTATTCTTTTCGATTAGTATTTGAACAAATTGATTATGTACAATGTAAACGAGATTCTACGTAGTGAAATTCAACTAGAAATGACACTGTAATGCTTTATGTTTGACAGTAGATGAAAAATATCTATTTGCAATTTCCAACAGTAACTCAATATTATTTTTGTGTCAAGTCAATAATAGGACATAAACAGAAAAATTATTCATCGAAAATTTATCATCATTCATTCAAATCACAACAAATCGTCTTGTTTTTAATTGAAATAATCTTGATATCGATCTCTGAAAGAAGTATATCTTCATTACAACGGTGAGAGAATATATCACATTTGTAGTTTATTTATTATTTGTACTTTTATTAATTCGCATATAGTGATGAGCCACAGAAAAAATAGTATATTTATTCGAAGAAAGTGAATCGTCACGTTATTACGACAGTTTGTCTTTGACGATGGCGGATAACTTTGACCACCCACAAGAAAAGTAGTCAACAAATGACATAGCTGAATACAAAAAAAAATGAGTACTAATAACATATATTGATTCCTGAAGAATTGATTTTGTCTTCGAAAATAATAGATATTCAAAGTATTTCTCAGCGAACTTCTTATGAGAAAAGTTTGTTGTTGTCCTATTTGATTTATTTGAGTAGCAGAACCTTGAAAATGTTGAACCGATATGATGTAATATCACTTTTTGACTTCTTCTCATGTCAAATAAAATTTATTGATAATTGAAAACATTGAAATCTTCATGATGAAACATTGACATCTCATTTGCATTGAAAAGGAATGATTATTTTAATCCTACTTCGATTTAGTTACTGTGGTTCATTTTGTTGAGCAAATACTTAGAACGCTAGACTCCATATGAAAAATGATCCACTCTTACTGCTTTCAGCATCATCAATGTGCAATGACAAAGTTTTGATTACGGTCTTCTTGTTCAAATAAGATTCTTTAGAAGTAAGTATAGTTATTATGTTGACTCAAATGTTCTATAATACTTTCATAAAGAGCAGAAGTTTCATAATTGTCGTTTTTTTTCTTTGAGTTTCGAAAGTCATTTTTCTTCCCATCTTTGTCACTTATGACACAAGAGTATTTCATCATATTCAGAGAACAGAACAGTCAGCGTTATTATGAAAACATGAAACAGAAGAATGAGTCATCGACAACCATCAAACTATTACTGTGCAATTATTGTCATTTGTAAAAGTATAAGAAGCTGAATAGTGTGAATGAAAGAGCATACTTACCTGCCACAGGATCTTTCTTGATCAAAAAGAAGGAAGCCCCTGGTCGAGACTTTGTCATTGCACATGGATAGAGTTGACATCAGCGAGAGACACATTGTCTTCTCGAGTGGATCATTTTTCACAGTGAGTTGAGCGTTCGCGCTTGACTCCTTCAACAAGGCATATGATAAAATTTCATCCATGAATCATAAAGCAGATACTCAAGATACTAGCAGAAACACAGATATTATCTAGAACCTATTTAATCTACTGTCTCTCCTTCTCTCGTCTATAAAAATGACTAAACAAGTATTTGTTTGTTTTTAAAGGTAATACTTTCATGATTATCGTTCCTTCTCATTCGATGATGACCACTTCGATGAGCTTTCTCAATCTCTACAGATCGATCTATATTTCTGAGTCTTGATAGTTATTGATATCGATGCAATGATTTACAATATTGTCATCCATAGTTTATGACTTATACACAAGACGTTCAAATAATTCGAAACAAAACATTTAGAGTTATATCGATATCAGTTTAAAATACGAACTGTGAGAATTCATTCGATATTCTCAAAAATATTTTCGAAATTATGAGAAATTAGGTGACGTCATCATCCACTTCAAGTTTTATTGCAACGGCATAAAAGGTTAAAAACAAAATTTGTTAAGAATCTCATTTCAATTCAATACTAAATTACTTCTTGTCCATTGAACATTTCAAATCAGTTCACAAGAGTGATATGCTGCTTGTAGAGAACATGTCAAAGAGGTTTTCATCTTAATGTACTTGTTTGACAACTCGAATGTCTCAATAAAATTGTTTTTGTTCAGTTATGGTCGATATAAGATGAATTCCAAACCAATTTTGTATGAAAGAGCACCACAACTCTTTTGGATTATTTCGTTGTATAGGTTCCTAGCTATTGGTGTCATTATCATCGGTGTCTATATAATCTGTCTACGGTGAATTTCAAAAAATATCTATCAAGGTTTTTGTCTTATTATGTTATTCAGTTTTCTGTTAAGATTTGTCATTGTCTACTTTTTTCGATTCGTTACGGATAAGTGGATCATATTTACTTTTGATCTCACATTATTTCAATATTGGTAGATCCTGTTATAGGATAATGATTATGAATGATTTGAAAAATTGTATTCATGAATAAGTCGGATAACAACATTTATATATTGTATATGCGTGATAATTGATCGATAAAATAGAATAAAAATATAATTAAAGTCGATAGAAAACAAAAGAAATGTGTTGTTTAATTGTAAGTACGATACAACAATCGAATATCGGTTCACATTACCAAACGGCACACTTGTTCACTCGGCTATTTCCTTGACCAGGTTTACAACCAAAGACTCGATCGAATTCGGCGAAATTCGACGTTGGACCATTCACTCTGAAATAGATTGAAGATTTTCAATAATCAATACGAATGAGAATGATATTATGAATAACATACCTGAACTGTGGTAATGAGTGTAGGTCTTGCAAAATATATGAGTAAGTCGATTCATCTGTCATCTTCGAACACCACATGTATCCAAAATTCATAAAGAACAGTTGTTCAGATGAGTATTTTTGTAAACCAGGTAGTTTTTTCTCCTCACTTCCCCTTGATCGAACCCAATTTCGATAGGCCTATAGAAGTTAACTGATATATTTGGGACAAAGGAATGAAATCTTACGAAAAAAGCCTCCTTCAATCCACCATTATCAGCTATATTTTCTCCCTGTGTTTGAGTACCGTTCATCTAAATAAAAATTAAACTTCTCTCCTAAAGCTCGAATATCTAGAAAGAAAAACCTTCAATTCTGTTCCAGCCAAAGTTACTATGTATTGATCGTATTGATCAATGATACATTGCTTTCGTTCGTTAAATTTATTGATCGTCTCGTTAGTCCACCAAGGAATTCGATTTCCATCTTTATCATATTGTCGTCCGAAATCATCAAAACCATGTGTAATCTCGTGACCAATAAACATGCCAATACCTGGAAATCATTAGTAAACTATATTTTATGTCTTAGAAATCGAATAATTTTTCACCGCCATAATTAAGATATCTATTATCAAATAAAAGATGGATTAAAAGAAGAAAGAGTAAAACTAAATACTCACCGAGGTACGTCTTTGTGATAGGCCGGCATTTGAAGAATACCCGCCGGAAAAGCTATGAAGAATCTAATCAAGACAAAGTTAAAAGACAAATCGTACTTATTCGATTATATTGTGGCGTATAGGTAGCTTCGACAATTGTCGGTGGAATAGCCCACTTTTTACGATCGACTGGTTCGCGAAACATTAGAACATTTTTTTTCATTTCTAATCGAAGTATAATTAAACCGTTGCTCATCAGAGAAGAGTTAAAATTATACTACAAGAAAAGTCAACAATAATCGAAAACTAAATTATTACGTATGAGAAACTTCTTTCTATTTGCACCTCAGCATAGTCTGTCTCAAGTTTGGTTAAATTCTCGTTACCCAAATAATCAGGATAACCAATTGCTTCGTTGATGGCGCGGGCCTTTTGAAAAATATCATTATATGTTGAAATTATTGTTTTGAACTTACTTTCTCTATTGCTTTAGATTTTGACATGGGATCCATCCAAGATGACTGTTGAAGCATATCAATAAATGTATTGCGAATATTTTCAATCATTTCCATTGACTGATAAAAAGAAGTCAGCGACAAAAAGTTATCATATTTAACTAACTTGATTACGAGCATTTTCGTCAAAATACTTTTGAATATAGAGTTTAGCTACAGCAAAAGCCATATGAGTGTTGACAAAGTTGGCGCATTCAATTGTACGTGATTGCTGAGAATTAGCTCCTGTCAACACTTTGAGAAAGTTTTGTTTGATTATTTGAAATCGTTTCGGCATCTGATCAATTCGATTGAGTATAAAACCCCACACAAGATAGTTTTGCAAAGTGCGTGGTGAATAATGATCAATGATCGAAGAAACATTGCGTATAAAGTCGATTTCACTGATGAGTACCATATCCTCATCGACGAGACTCACATTTGCCAAACGATAGGCACGTCGAAAATAATTTACAAAATCAAACTAAACAATCATAGTAAAAATAATAGAATATAGGACATACTTACATTAACATTCAATATACGTGAAACATTTCCAAGTGTCGTACGAATATTTTCATCAATATGAGCTAGCCGTTCGGTAATTGTCCGATGATACTGTAGAAAGAAAAAACAATTCAGATCGATATTCAATATGAGTAATGGCAGAAAACAGTACCTTGGCAATTTGTTGTTCTAATTCAAATGTAGCATTAACATCCTGGTCGATCATCGATGTATCATTAGTCAAAGCTAGGGCTATCTCCTGCATAAATGCACGATAGGCAATAGTGATCGGACTTTCGCTCTCATAGCTACTGCGTATGCCCAAAACAAGATCACTTTGTCCGATCTAAAACGATATCAGACATACTTGATGAAAGTATACATCAAACCTCACGTACTGCTAGTATATGAGTAGAAGAATTTTTATCATCAATAGTTGTTCCGATATTAAAAATGACTGCATGTCCATATTCGAACAGTTTGAGTAACTGATTCGATATGTTATATGTCGAATTGTTCCATGTCGATCCTTGCAAAATTGGCCATCCTCCCATTTGTGTATTTATAAATGTGAGAAGCATATTAGTATCCTCCAACTCAATGGCTTCTTCATCAATGCAAGAAGCATACAAACGACGAGCATTAATAATTGCATGAGAGTTGTCGATGCTGGTGGTTGATGATGACGTGAGAACATCTTCAATGAGATAGAAAAAGAGTAATTATAGATGAATAAATAAAGTTATCCAACCAATTATATTGTTAGTCAATTGAGTTCCTATCATCTCGAATATAGTTTCACTTGTAGCTTCAAATAAAGTAATGCTTGACAAGAATAAAAGAAAAAGAGAAAAAAGGGCTGACCATCCGCAGGTATTTTTGTATTGTTGAGCCACGTCCCACATGTAAACTGATAAAAATTTTCACACGGATTAACTGTCTCATCCATACTCTTGAGTAAATTGTTAGCTAGAATAGAAGAATAGTTCGACTTTATGTTTGGAAGAGATTTTTATTTGCTGACCTGCTTCAACACACTTTGGAGTTAAACATATATCATTCTTTTCAACTGAAAAATAAAAAGTCTCATATCATTTTCTCATTTATTATCACGTAATAGATACTTTTCGATTTGTTTCGTTCCACTCCGAACAAGATGGCCAATACAATGGTAGAAATCAAAAGAAGACTAGCAAGTACCATGAATATTATAGAAAGTACTTTCCATGAACATAGACTCCTACAAAAGTGATGATTCAAAAATGAAAACTAATGTTTTTTTTTTGTTGTTTCCCAATGTTGATCTATCATATATCAGCAAATTCCTTGTTTGCTATTGAATTTATGAATAAAAAAAATAGACAACGATCTCGTCTTACCAATGTTTATGAGTCATTAGTATGCTATTGATTTCTTGTGAATTCTGCAAATTTTCTTATTCGTATGTCGATCGATTCAATTCCGATATCTTTCAATGCCTAACAAAGTCATAATATGCCTTAGAATAGTTTTTATTTTTTTTGTGTGCCTTATTGCTCGACACAGTATGTGATTTCTTGGGTTGACGAAACGCTTACCTTTTTTTCTTGCTCTCCTCCATTATTTTCGTTTCTATACTTGTCGCTTGATCTGGCAGTCTTTGATCAATATATATGTTGATATTCATGTACATATTTACGCATAGGTAAAAAAAAGGAATGAAAAAAAAAACATCACATGATGCTAATAAATGTCAAAACCAAAAAAAGGGCAAAAAATTGTGGTCGTTATATCTGTCAGATTAAGTATTGAAATGTTGTGGTGTTTTGAGTGGAGACAGAAAACTATGTTTCAAAAATCGACGGAGTCGGTGCTCTTATTGTTATTAGAGGTTTCAGGAAGATATGTTCAAATTATTTATTAGTGAAAATCATAACATTTTATCCACTTTCATTGCTGTACAAATCAAGAAATACGAACAATAACATATTTTTTGTCCGAATCCTATTTTTTGAGGTGTATATAGAGTGCCCAGAAAGGCATTAGCCAAAGAATAATTACAAATATTGTCACCATACTTTGACCTAACGAGCTGACATTTTTTTCTTTGATAGAATATTATTCATACCTTATATTTATAGAACAACCATTGATAAAAACTATTTTGACGTATTACAACTGCTTTCAACAAAGAACTGTAATCCATCACGAGGTTATGAAAAAACGATATAGTCATTCTCTTGCCAAACATAAATGACAGACCAACTTTCTTTTTTTATTACTTTTCTGCACTAGTATCGTTTCATCTCTAATTCAAGGTATAGATGTATGCCTTGTTATTATTTGTACACTGAAGTTGTCAATTTTTGTTATTGATTTTCTGAATACGTAGTGTATATACATATGAGTGAGTTGGAAGTTTTTTCTACGATAGGTGCGGAAAACTGGAAATAGAGCTAAATAGTTTCTGAGCAGTATATTTTATTACATTCTATGCCTGTGTTAAGAAATTTCAAGCTCTAAAAAATGGATTATTCATTATTTGTTTTTCGTTCCATCGATGTTTAGAAATGTTCATTTTCATACTACATCGCTTTTTGAAATATAATTTTTTCACACGAAGACTTCCATAAGTCATCGACGTAGTATGGTGTTAATGTAAATGTGGAGTGGATGTGAGTGTGTGGTGAAGAGTTCACCTTCACATCCATATTCCAAGATATAAGTATAGAAGTCTTAATTGGTTTAAGTTTTTTCCATATTTTCAAAATATATTTTGTTTGTCAACGAGTTTTTGACAACGACCATCATATTAGTTCTTTCAGCATGTTTATTCGGAGTAGTAACTTGTTTCGACAAACAAAGTATATGGGTATTACCACAATAACAATTGTCGGGTGGTAGAATGGTCATCCATATAAATGTTATATAGATGGACGACTCTTCTTCCTTCTCTCTCTGGTCACACATATAAATTTGTCTTTTACATAATTTCGAACAAAATTAAATAAGAGATCAGTCGAAAACGACTACCAGTTGTATTTAGCTTTCCTATGTGCTTTATTTGGTGTAGTATTAATGGGAATGCTTGTTGTAGTTCTAGTTGGTAGCTATGAATGTATTTCGGATTGAAAAGTGTGCTTGTCCAATCGAGATATAGCATCAATAGAATTCGATGAGATGATTAATACAAATGAAGAAAAAAAGAATATTATACAATAGAAAATTTGAGTTAACATGGATGTTTTTCATCTTCCATTGAAATTTCATTTTTTTGTACTTTCCTTAAAATGATCGTCCAAAGTGATAAGTATTTGTTCAAACCAATGATCACAAATTTGAAAAATAAACTAATTAAAGTAACTTAAATTATGAACAAAGACATCCATTAGCAAATGATTGTTAATCATAATGGAAGATCGTCGATCGAGTTAAATATTTTATCATTCGCTTCGATTGTCACTAACAGACCACAAATGACGTTGAAAATAAGCAAAACCCATTTATCGTCACCATTCCTTTAGTTTTAATGATGAATATTATTGTTTAAAAATTCTTTCTGCTGATAGAGAAACATTTAAGGAACGTAAGAAATATCGATGTTCGATTAATAATGTGCAGTTGAGCGATCACTTTGTGTCGAATTCATGAATAAAAAGAAACCACATTGTCATTGTCTTGATAATTTTGTAGTTTTTTAATGCATTTCAAACAGTTCGACATGGAAGTGAAGCAACACGTTCATTGAAAGTGTTTCGTTGGATATAACTTCAAAAACAATAAATACATGGAAGATTTGATCAAACTTTCTTAGTACATTTTCGTTGTTTGTTTAATCACTTGAAAATTGATGAAATGAAAAAAATTCAACTGACGTGCTTCACCAGAAGATTCACGTTTTGAAAAAACTACCGAAAATGAATTATTGTTATTTGGCATATGCAAAGATATCTTCTCTCTAAGAACCTTTTATTGCGTAGTCGAAGGCGCCTGAGTAATCTGTCTAAAAGGTTTCCTTGAACTAACTGAACTGTCTAACACTCTCTAAACAGTATCTCAAAATCCATCAACGATCATTCATTTGAAAAACTCGACTAAATATGCACTGATGTAGCATACATCTCTCTTTTCTTCATCGATCGATAGAAAAATTCGATCAGACAATTCATACATTCTTGAGCAATGATCACAAGGATGAGAGGCAACAAAAATAGTTGTCTCGTCAATTAATTTTTCGAAACAAACCATATGAGCATCGTCATTAGTCTGAATTTAATATTCAGATTTTGAAACTTACACCCTTCTACTAGTTTCATGGGAAAACGTTTCCTCAAAATTGAAAATACTACGAATCTATAAACAGAAATTAAAATCAGATACTTATTATTTTATACTAGTCCTGTTTGTAGATGAACATCTGTTTGGATTAGCAACAGAAAACATAATAGACGCATTGATCTTTTTTCTTGACGTGTAGTCAAGGTTTTGAGTCGACACGTTTGAAATTCTATTTTCGGTGAGTATCCCATTTCTTTGTTTACTATATTGAAGAAAGTTTCATCTAAACAACAAATTCTTATAATTTTGAGCAA